TGCGTTTTGAACCGGACGAATCAGGACGCCCTTTAGTTCTAATAGGTGAACTGTTAGTTTCTGGAAGGAACATATCAGTTATGTCATTATTGTTGAGGCTTTTATGTTTATGATCATCATGTCTTAAGAATCTATCCAAATTTAAACTAAGTCGGTTTTTTTGTTTAATATTCTTTGACTTCTCGCCTTCATTATCAGAATGCGGAAAATCATTACTATTTGCTCTTTGGTTTCTTCTAGTTTGTTGCTTCATAACTTCATCTTCGTTATCCGAAGAAAAAATGTAACTACGTCTACTTTTGGACTTTGTTTCACTATTATTAGATTGTCTAGAAGAATGACGGTGTCTCTTATCATCCGCACCATCCTTGCGTTTCTCTTCGGATTTCGACCTATGAGTAAATATTCCTGATATAGTACGAACGAGACCTTCGGATTTTTTCTCTTCTTGAGCTGTTTTCTCCAGCTCTGTATACTTTCCTTCCTTTTTTAATAGGCGGCGAATACTATTAGATTTTTTATGGTCCTGTTGAGATTTTTCTTCAATCATTTGATGTTGTGGAGATAGGCCATTCTTTGTTTCTTCGATAGTTAATGGGTTGTAATCATTATTTTGTAAGTATTCCGAAGAACCTGAAGTAGATTTATTTTCTTCTTCAATTTCTTCAGCATGAGCATGAAGACCATCTTTGAGAGATTTCGTGGTGGTGGGTGGTGCCATTGTGTTTATTTAGGTATATAAAAGGAAGGTTTTTATTATTATTAATATATAATTATTATTATTATTTATTAAATATAAAAACCAGAGTTTTGCAAAGATATCAAGAGTGGCAGTTTTCCATAAAAAAGTTTACAGAAAATAATGCCAATTTATGTTTCAAAGAGCAATTTCCTTATCTTATATTAAATTTAAATAAACTTCTAATTTATGTAGTTGCCGTTTGTTTATTTTCACGGCCACACGTTTGACAAAGCACAGAGATTTCACAACTGTCCAACTTTAAATAAAAAAAGATAAAAATCTTAATTTTTTTTTTCAACTTTAAATATAAAAAAAAATCTTTATTTTTTTTTCAAATGCCTCCTACATTCCTTATCTTTATCTGGCAGGAAAAAATGCAGATTAGATTTTGCATATAAAATATATTTTTTTTATGTATGATGTATATACGTTCCAATTGCAGAATTGATAAGGTAAGAGGAAATCGTGTCAGGTAGATTATGGCAAAAGTTTTGTAACATGATTTAGACCGTATTTGAAATGAGGAGCGGGAGATTTACTACGTACGTATATACACATATATGTGTATTTTATCTACAGTACTTTAAAAATCATTTCCATCATAAATTCTCAAAGTTTGAACTGCACTAAACGCCCGTGCGAAATTCTGAAGAGTGATGACAATATAACAAATAGAATTAATCGTTCTAACTTGATTTTTATATAATTAGAAATTATAATTGAACTAATATTGTTATTATTTGGAGAAGTTCATTGATTCAGCAATTTTTGGAATGTCATGATGAGTGTTCTTACGTAAATACGCAAGTACGCGCATGAGATGTACAGTAAGTACGCAAAAGATATGTACAATGGTTTCATTTTTCGTTAAATGTTACACCACATTGAGTATCGTGCTTTTAATCGATTCGTTTGTTGCTTGCGTATATTAAACGTTTCATCGTACGTACGTATTGGTACGTATTGATGGTACTGTGTCGTAATTCGGATATTACAAATTAGATTAGTAATTTTAGTAATTTTTAATACCGGTAATTTTAATAATTTTAATAATTTGACGAGAATCCGTAAAAAAAAAAATTACATGTTTATGAGATTTAGCTAGTGTTAAAATTTTCTCATTTTACTAAAAATATAACATTCATTAAACGTTAACATTAACCGATTCGTTATAACGATTAATGTAAACATGCTTACGTAAAAGGAAATGTTAATTTGTCTTCTTTCCAAAAATGTCTAATACTTATATACATAACTACATTTTTTGAAAAATTAGTTAATTATGACAAGATAAAATAAAATATATTATATCAAATGTGTAATATACGCATATACGGTACAGTAAATAAAAACGGT